CCCCGTATTCTTTGGTCTGAAAATGCACCGTTCTGGCAGGGAGGGGGCTGACTGGGGTATCCGGGGCTCTTGGCTTAACCGGAGAGCGGGAAACCATCCCCCCAAAACCAGAAATGGTTCGAGTATTCCCGACAGAGCAGAATATTCCTGACTCAGGGTTGAAATGAGGGGTATTTGGTGCTCTCTGAGCTGGGTGGTTTTCTTGCAGACGTTTCATAACCCAACTAGGTAATCTCCTCAGTGCTAGAGGGGTATTTGGTGCTCTCTGAGCTGGGTGGCTTTCTTGCAGACGTTTCATAACCCAGCTAGGTAATCTCCTCAGTGCTAGAGGGGTATTTGGTGCTCTCTGAGCTGGGTGGCTTTCTTGCAGACGTTTCATAACCCAACTAGGTAATCTCATCAGTGCTAGAGGGGTATTTGGTGCTCTCTGAGCTGGGTGGCTTTCTTGCAGACGTTTCATAACCCAACTAGGTAATCTCATCAGTGCTAGAGGGGAGCGGGGTTTTCACGGGCGGAGGAGGATGACGACCACATGGCTGTAGGATTGTTGGTTCTCTCTGAGCGGGGTGGTTTTCTTGCAGACGTTTCATTACCCAACTAGGTAATCTCATCAGTGCCAGTGAGTGTTGGGATTTACCAACTAGTTTTGTTTGGTGGTGCAGTTTCCTCCTCAAATGTTCCTTCTGCCTATTTGTTGTCTGGTGTTAATCCCCGCTTATCTGGATGCTGCCTGCTGGAGACGTGGTTGGTCTTTTGTTCCCTTCTTTTTTTTTGTAAGTTTTATTTGAGTTTTCACAAAAAGAAAAGAAATACAAGTAAAACATCTTTTTTGAAAGCAGCATAATCCCAGGTTACATCCCTTCGTACAGATACAAATTCAAGTTCATGCTCATTTTTATATACCATTCCATATCTTATTACTATTCTACATTTTCTATATGGCTTCTCCCTTCTTTTAACTTTCTTAATTTTATTTTATTTATTTCATCTCAATTCAAATCATTATACTTATATTCTTTTGTCCTGTTTCAACTGTCTAATATCTTTTCTCATCAAACAAAATTTCTCCTGTAATCACTGATTGGAGTAGGACGCCTTTATATCTTTCCCCTAAAATTATAACACTTTAATATAATACATAACTTCCGTTCGGATTTTGCTCGGCGCATTCTAAAACTACACACTGTATTCTTGAAAAAAGAAAAAGAAAAACAATTATAAATGTATAATATAACTAAAACAACAATCCATTCCCATTCAATTCTATCATTCATATTAATATTCATTTAGATCTTAACATTTTGCACGTTACTTTTCAAATAAATATCCTACTTCTATGGGAACAATTATAAACTTTCCTTTTACTCCCTGTCTTTATTTTCCCTTTTGAATGGATTGTCATCATCTCTATAGGTCGATCGATGGCTAAATGGTGCGAATGCTAAGCTGCCAAGAATCCCTTGGCATTTTTATACTTGGCTTAGTCTCTGATACGAACACAGGTCCTCCTCGACTTACCACCCCAATTGAGCCCAACATTCATTGATGTGGCTAAGCGAGACAGTTGTGAAGTGAGTTTTGTCCCACTTTAAGACTTCCCTTAACGCGTTTGTTAAGCGAATTCACTTAACACGAGTCAGTTGCTATGTGTCTGAATTTGGAATGTGTGATCCTGGGGATAATTCAACGGTCCTAAGGATAACCATGTGAGTGACTTAAAGACGGCGGCAGGGACTCGCTTAACGGAGGCAGCCAGAATGGTCGTTCAATGGGGCAAAAAACCCCAAAAGCTCACCCGACGGTCTTTCTTGTTTCTAGGAGGATCGGGAAGTCTACGAGGAGATCGCGAGGCTACGGCAGGAGAGGACGCAGCTCCTCCAAAAGATCCGGGGATTGGAGCAGCTCCAAGACCAACAGAAACAGGAAGTGAGTCTTTGAAGAAAGACCCCCCCCCCGGAGGAAGATGCTAGAAGGAACTTAGCAAACCCAGCATAAGAACCAGGGTGGTGCAGTGGTCAGAAGGCGGCATTGCAGGCTGCCCCTGCCCCAGGCCAGGGGTTCAATCCTGACCGGCTCAAGGTGGACTCAGCCTTCCGTCCTTCCAAGGTCGGTAAAATGAGGACCCAGATTGTTGGAGGCCAG